CATAGCAACTGCAGCATTGAATTTTTTAAGATAAGCATGTAGGAGTGATTTGTTTTAGAACTTACTTATGTAAGATCTTTCTCTTGCTTTCACTCATAGGCAGGTTTGTTCTTTTCCCTTCAAACTCACGAAGACATTGCCTTCATGTCTCTGAATTTTTAACCTCAAATAAAGAAGTATAAGGCCAACCAGATTTTTGTTCCTTTGTGAGAAGACTGTGACTTTTGTTCCTTCATAGCTGTTTTTAAATTTTTCTTTTTCTGCGAAACTAAAAAAGAAAATTCAGCAGGGGCAACATAGTGAGACCTTGTCTCTACAAAAAAATTTAAAATTAGCTGTGGAAGGATCACTTAAGCCTAAGAGGTCGAGGCTGCAGTGAGCCTTAATCATGCCACTGTTCTGCAGCCTGGGCAACAAAGCAAGACCCTGTCTCAAAAAAAAAAAAAAAAAAAAAAACAACAACAGCAAGAAAAAAGAGAAGGAAAGAAAATTCTTCCGCTAAGTAAAACTGGGGCAGGGCAAGGGGCTTCTGAAACACTGTGCACACGTTTTACCTAAAGAGTCAATACAATTTTATTATTATTTATTTTCAATGAGAAAGTTTATTTCTCTGCTCTCTTTGTTCTGTGTATTCTGGTATCCTTTTTGAAAACTTCTCTAATTCACAGATTAGATGTCCACTCTCTATCTTCTCTATCGTTTTTCATTTTGTTTCTAGTCTATTAATCTTTGTATTCAGGTTTCTGGTCTATTTATCTATTCTGCTCTCTAGACGGTTTCCAAGTTTATCTTCTGCATTACTTTTTCTGCATTATCCATTCTATCCTTTACTGCCTCCAGTTCATTTTGATTTTGCTGTTGGATTTCTAGTTTCCATTGGCTCTCTCCTAATCCCAGTTCCTGTCTCACACTTCATTTCAGCCTGAGAGTTGCTTTGCTAATCACAATCCCTTCCTTCAAATGCCTTTTCACACATCATAGAATCTATATTGTCATTCTCCTTACATACAAGCCAACATGTTTTGCACTTGAGTTTTTCATTTTATTTATATCTGGTTGATTGTCATTAACATGTTCAGAGTTACACACTTCCATTAAGTTTTCACAATACTGCTCCTTTATTCTGCCAGTCAGGATATTTGTGTAGATGCCGTATTGCTCTGCGCCTCCCTCAATCCTGAATGAGGTCACCCCTGTCTGGTCTTTTGTGTTTGCTGTGTGCATCAGCCTTGGACTAGCTTGGTGTCTGCTGAGGCAGAGTCTCCCTCTCAGACCTAAAGCTGGAGGGTGGCTTCATGAGCTCATCTCAAATCCAATTTCCAATATTTAGCAGGCATTCAATCTCCTAGTAACCTTTGCTAGCCCAAAACAGAATGCTGTCTTGATGCCATGGATGATCAGGAAGAAACTAAGTCAAGCGCTAGTTCTTTGATCAGACGCAATCCGTTGTTTAAAGCTTCAGTTCCTCGTACACACTGCCCCCAAGTTTTTCCTACCCCAGACGGCTTTGCCTGAGAGCACCACCCCTTAAAGGACACAGCATACCACCCAGTCTCCTCCTGCCCCGCACTGCCCTGGAACTCCAAGGCCTGGAGTAAGGGCGGTGCAGATGGGAGCTGCCTTAATACACAGGCACAGGGCTTTGCTAGTACTGACAGATCCTGTCTACCAGCCACAGACAGATAGAGGAAGGGGTTGAAGCCTCAAGCTACCCCTGCCTTTGGTCTTCTGGGTCCTCTGCCTTTGGTCTTCTCGGTCCCCTGGGCAACCAGAGTTTGTTGGTGACAGCGCTTTAGTTAATGATGTCACCTCCTGAGTCTGGGAGGAGTCTGCTGGGGAACTGTTATCTTCCTTCTCAGTGTTGCTGTGGGACTTGGTTCTTTGATGTGTGTCTTCATGGGTATTTTTAGGGAATATAAGGCAATGACAAGCTGGGGGTTGATAGAGGGGCACCATTTTAACACCCGAGTTAGCATTTGATAAAGGCCTGGAGTTGTGGTTCCCAGCCATGGTTGCACGTTAGAATCAGCTGGGGAGCTGTCAAAAATTACCAGTGTCTCAGCCCCACCCTGACCAGTTACACAAAACTTTCTGAGGTGGAGTCCCAGCATCCGCAGCCTCAGAGATCCTCTAGGTGACTCCAATGTACAACCAGGGCAAGAGCATTTAACCCAGAGCAGAGAAGGGGCTTAAGTTCTCATTCAAGTTCTAGTACTGTGGGGCCTTAGTCAAGTCTTTTAATATCTTTGTGCCTCAGTTTTTCCCATTTGAAAATGAGAATGGTAATGCCCACTCTTGCTCAGATTACATAAGAATATTATGGGATAAACAAAGGTTCATGAGAATGAAAGCACCAAAAGACGTATGACTTCAAGCCCAGTAGTGCAGAGCCCTTGGCAGGCCCTGGGATGGCAGACACCACCATTCATTCATTCATTCATTCATTCATTCATTCATTCATTCACAAAGACCCTGAACAGCTGGGACCCCTGTGAAGGCTGCCTGCTGTAGGCTCTGGACTAGGGTGAAGAGACAAAGCTGTCAAAGATGCTGGGCACCCACCACTTGCGGGGACCCTGGAGTCCCTTGTGGTCCCTTTACACCCTGGATGAAAGACAAACAGCAGAACTCTACAGTCATTCCCAGGTGGACACTTCAGTGAGAAAGGAATGGGGAGGCAGGAGGCCTGAGGGGTTAGTACGAGGCCCATGAGGTCTGCAGGCATGGCTGGACTTCCAAGGGACAGTGTGGACAAATGGCTTCATGGAAAGTACAGACTTGGAGAGTGACTAAGCGTGGGCTCTGATGCACTACTTTCCAATTTAAAAACACCATAAGAGCTGCTCTTGCCACAAAAGCAAAACGAAACAAAAATGGGTAACTGTGAGATGATGGATATGTTGTTTGCTTCACTATAGGAGCCTTTTTACTGCCTACATGTATCCCATTGCATCATGTTGTATACCTTAAACGTACACAATAACATTTTTTGAAAAATAAAAAACACCAGAAGGAGAAAAAATGTTTGGTCTCCAGAGCAGGCTGACGTCCGTCTGAATCCCAGCCCTGCCATTGGCTCATAGTCACGGGCAAGTTACACAACTTCTCTATCCTCAGATTCTCCATCTATAAAATGGGGCAGTAATAGGACCTGCTTTATAGGACCATCGGGATAACTATGTAAAATACCACAGTTAATGCCCTTGGCTCGGTGTCTGGCTCACCAGTAGCAGCTGCTGCTGCTACTGTATTGCGTATAAATAGAGACATCAAAATAGTTATAGATACACACACAAGTATATACTTCTTTGTAACTGATGAGACTCGGGTCATTATAAGCTGTGGCCTAGGCTCATCCAGAGCTGGCACTGCAGGGCTTCTCAGCCAGCCCCTGACCTGCCACCTGAGGAGACCAAGGCACCTCTAGATGGCACCTTCATCACTCACAAGGGACAGATGTTAACCAAGTCATCTCTGAGGGCCTTCCATCTCTGGCGACGCTGAGATTCTGGTGTCAAGGATGCTGGGCTGAAGTCAGCAGTGGTGAGGGGGACTGGGCTGTGGGAATGGTCTGAGTCACATTCTACAACCTGTCTTCACATATTCTATTTTGGTGGTGGCACAGTCACCCAAACCAAGAATCTTGGCGTCACCTTGGACTCTCCCCTTTCCATCACCCCTTACAACCCACCACTTAGCAAGTACTATTGCCTTTCACAATGTCTCTTGTGTCACTCCTGTATTGGTCTGCTACTGAGACTGAACAAACAACCATAAAAATCTCAGTGGCACACAGCAGTAAACGTGCATTTAGATGATGTGTGTGCAGATTGGTTGGGGGTCACCTGACTTAGGCTAGACTAAGGCGAGGCCCTGTCACACATGTTGCCCATCTTCTTCCTGGGACCATCAGGCCAGCCCAGAGAGAGTCTTCTTAGGATGACAGAAGAAACATGAAAGTCAACGTAAATATTTAGGGCCTCACATCAGAATTGGCACACCATCACTCCTGCCTCATTCTGTTGGCCAAAGCAAGACATATGGCCAAAACCAAAGACAAGAGGTAGGGGAAATGTCTTTCTGAATATTATTTAAGCTACCCCAGATTCTTACCGTTCAGCTGTCAGAGCACTGAGGTTTTAATTTCATCCTGCCTGGACACTTGCAGTGGCCTCCTGCTTGGTCTCCACCCCTTAGCTGTTTTAACCTTTCTGTTGAGCACTGGTATGACTGTGGTATTTCATGGTTCCATCCCCAAAACCTTCCCTAGCAACCGTCCCATGAAACCCAGCTCCTTGGCTTTTTATACCTTCTTCTCTTATATCACAGTGATGAGTGAATATGTCTTATCTTAGCTCCTGGTGCAGAGCCTGGCACACCATGGGGCAATAATATTTTTTTAAAGGATGAATGAATGAATGAATGAATGAATGAATGAATGAATACCTCTAATTTTCCTACTGTCCTCTAGGCCCCTTGAGGGAGGGGCTGTAGCTGTGTAGCCCAGTGCTGGAGCGCTAGCCCGCATGGCCCTCTGTTGCCATTGCTGATGATGTGTGGGTGGGCAGTGTTCTGGTTACCCCCAGCCTACCACGCAGAGGGCATGACTTGGGGGTTAGCAAAGGGAGATGGGTTAGCCACAGGGAGTTAAGTGCAAAAGTGCTGAGTCTGGGGAGGGTGTCACCTCCTGTTCTACCTCCTCCTCCCACATCAGCATTGCCGTCAGTGAAGGAGGGTGACTGGCAGGTCTGGGCAATGCCCAGAGGCAAGGAAGCTGTGTCCCCAACCTGGGGACACCTGAAAAAGAGGTGTTGTGGCCACAGGTCAGGGTGGTCCTAGCCACGGAGAGTGCAATCATGCACCCCCATCCTCATTTAAGACATGGGGTTTGCCTGCTGCCCAGGAGCAGCCCCGAGACAACAGATGCTCTGCACAGCAGGGTGGCACCCGGGCCCCTCCCCAGCCCCAGGAGGCTGACGCAGTCTCTCATGCCTCCACAGAAGGACTTCACGGTGCGCGAGGAGCTGCAGCAGCAGGACGTGGAGCGCTGGCTGGGCTTCATCACCTTCCTGTGCGAGGTCTTCGGCACCATGCGCAGCAGCACGGGCGAGCCCTTCCGCGTGCTCGTGTGCCCCATCTATACCTGCCTCAGGGAGGTAAGAGACCCGCTGCCTGTGCCGCCTGCGCAGCCGGACAGTGCCAGGGCTGGAATGTGTCTCAGATACCCGGACAAAGCTATGAGGGTGGACTCACTTAGAAAGGGACCCATCCCGGCCAGGCACAGTAGCTCACACCTGTAATCCCAGCACTTTGGGAGGCTGAGGCAGGTGGATCACCTGAGGTCAGGAGATCGAGACCATCCTGGCTAACGCGATGAAACCCCATCTCGACTAAAAATACAAAAATTAGCCGGGCTTGGTGGTGGGTGCCTCTAATGCCAGCTACTCGGGAGTCTGAGGCAGGAGAATTGCTTGAACCTGGGAGGCGGAGGCTGCAGTGAGCCGAGATCACGCCATTGCACTCCAGCCTGGGCGACACAGCAAGACTCTGTCTCCAAAAAAAAAAAAAAAGAAAGGGCCCCATCCTTCAGCAAAGAGATGCACAACAGCAGGCGCTTCTGCTCCCCAAAGCCAGGTCTTTCTTTGTTGGGTTTACATAAAGGGAACCAGCACCCCCTTCCCCCACGGGGTGTTGTGAACTCAGGCCTCAGCCATTTCCAATCTGGAGCACTGGCTGCAGAGGGGGGCCTATGGTAAGTGTCTCAATGAGCAGTCTTGGAATTGGATTGGATTGGTTGGCCACTGGATTATTTATGCTATGAAAACATGTTTTCTTCTAAATTTCATCTGAAAAAGAAGGAAATAAGAATGACCAAGGAACTTTTGAGAAGCAGGAATTCACCAGGTGCTTGCGCTGCCAGATATTGTTAACTCACTTTCTACACCCCTCTGGCTGCTGTCAGGGGAGAGAATTGAAAGGGGGCAAAAGTGGAAGCTGGAAGCCGAGTGGGGCTGCTTAGGCTGCCCAGCACAAGGTTGGTGTCTTGGAAGACAGCCTCAGAGTGAGGGCGAAGAGCGCGTTTAGGCTCTAGTTGTATTTCTGAGTTACAGCCAGCAGGACTCAGTAATGTGAGATGGAGGAAAGGGAGGAGGGGACATGGACTCCCCGTTTACCAGCTTGGTGGCCCCATTTTCTGAGATGGAGGATGCTGGATAAGAAATAGAATGGGGATGAAAAGCAAGAGTCAGTTATGTTTGAGTTGCCTGTTAGCTGTCCGTAGGGAACTGCCCGGAGGTTGGCCGGGTGGAAGGGTCTAGAGATCCTGAAGAGGTCACGCATGCAGATAGGGGATGGAGGGTTCTGTGAAGTATCAGTATGCACCTGGTGCTCAAAGCTGGGGACCGGATGGAACCATGCAGGAAGAGAGTATGGATGGAGAGGCAGAGGAAGGGGGCGTGTAAGAACCCTCACAGCAGCCCTTCACTGGGACCTGGACGCCTCCCCCGTGTTGTACCCTCCCACTGCCAGCAGGCCTCTGCTGGGGCTACCAGGACACAAGGGAACAGCCTCCTAAGATCAAAGGACCAGGACAGAAAAGTGTCCTGGGTTTGGCAACAAAAGTGTCCTGGGTGTCAGTGGAGGTGAGGACACGAGTGTGGACAAGTCTTTGGAGAAGTTTTTCTGTGAATGGCAGCAGGGAAGGGGAGCTGTGGGGTCAAGGGGCATCTTTGTGTTTTTGAAAGAAAGACGATATAACAGAGCAATTTAAGAGACGGGAGGGAGTGTATTTATAAGTGTTTTTGAAGCATCCGTGTATAGAACAATAGCATGCTCATTCCAGACTAGCACAGAGCACACAGTTGTCTCTCGGGTGCTTTGTAAACCTGTGAGCCTCTGCCACTCCATGTACCCAAACCACATTTCTTAACAAATGCACTTGAAATCAGATTTGTTTCACAGATTCAGACAATGGCCTCTCCTGACTTTATTTCATCCTCAAAGTGCCTTGAGCTCAGAATGCAGCTCCATGAGGGCCGGCAGCTCTGCTTTTTGCACCCTTTGGAATGACTTGAAGGCAGCCTCATGGAGGCTAGGAGCGGGCCTACATGGCCTCTTGGGTCCTCCCATCCTTGCCTGCATTGCCCTGTGCCCTGGACAACCCACCTCGAGACAGGGAGCAGCACTGTTCTAGGGCGGTGACCTGAATTGCCCCAACACTTTTCCTCTGCGTGATCTGGACACCTCCTGGTGTTGTTGTCACCTGCTCCTCCGAGAGGGAGGCAAGGCTATAGCCGAGCACTGGCCCTGGCTGCTGGGACAGTTTTAACACCGCCTGAGGTAGTACAAACGTTCCGGTGTGAGATCCGGAAGGTGCCAGGAGATGTGTGCAGACAAGAACAAAGAGCCACGCCTAACACACACTTACTTGTTGGATGCATTCAACTTTTCGGGCCAGTTTGACAAACACAGACCCATCCCATGCTCATGGTAAACTTGAAGAATAAATAAATCACCTATGGCCTTCTCCAGTTTGTAAAGGAAGAGGGCAGGGCCCCATGTACCAAGCTAGCGAGGGCCAGGCTGTGGCAGGGTTCAGATCCTGGCTCTGTTGTTCGTCAACTGCACCACGTTGCGGAGCGTTTACCTGCTCTGAGTTTCGGCTTCTTCATCTGCAAACGGTGCTCATGGTGCTTTCTCTGCAAGGTGCAGGGAGGGTGGCGAGGCGTGGAGAGACAGCTAAGCGTACTAGGGACAATGAGGCCAGAGGCTGGAAGGAGGTGGCCAGAGCACAGCAACTGACAGAGAGCTCTAGGTTGATGGGGCCTAGGGGCTGAGCACACACCTAATCTTAAAGGGCTACTTGGGCTGAGTGTCCTGCCCAGGGACACACAGCTGGCCCATGCCAGAGCTGGTCTGGAGCTCCTGAACTCCAGGTAGGGCTCTTTCCGGGAGAAATCTTGGCTTCCCTAAAACTGGGCCATAAGAAAAGATGGGGACTGAAGGGGTACCCTACGGATCTTATCAATCCTTGTGAACAGCCTGTTGCCTTTCCCAGCTCCGTGGGGGCCCCTGAATTCTTCAAGTCATTTGCCGCCTCATAACCAGGCTTGACCTACATCCCTAAAGCAGGTTGAGCCGGCTTATGGAAGTTTCCAGAGCCAAAGGCACTGCTGCAGCCACCTCCATGCTGGAAAAGCTTAGGCTTTCCCCCTGGGGCCATGTAGATGTCTGACCCCAAATCCACAGCACCCACTTTGCCCTGAGATCCGCTCCACTCCCAGAACCACCCCCAGGCCCACATTTCCAGCTGCCCACTACGCCTGTCCCAGGTCATCCCTCAGGCCCCTCCAACAGGATGTGGCCGGAACTGCGCCCCAAAGCCCCTGCTCAGTGCAGCTGTCATGCAGGCCTCCACCCACGCTGCCTGCCTCCCTGCGGCCAGGCAGCAGCCCCAGAAGCCATGCGATTGCCTTTCCTCAGTCAAGTCACTCACTCCATCCCCTGCGTCTGCACCCCCAGGGCACTGCTTTCCTTGCTACTTCTGAGTAAAACACAAACCCACAGGCCATCTCCGAGTGAAGGGTCTTGCTGAGGACAAACCTAAGGGAGAGATGAAAGTCCTCACCATCCAGTCCGTCTGGGGGTCCTTGTGCTCACAGAGGCCCCCTTCATTCTGAGGTCCAAGCTCACTTGGTCCCCACGCTCCTTTAGGTTAAGCACGTGCTCAGTCCCCAGGCGCCTCAGCCTGGAGGACACCCAGCTCTCTGGGAGTCCCTGGGGACATCCTTTCACACCCTGACCTCATCAAATTAACCATTCTTTAAGTTACTCAAGCTTGAAATTTGGAGTCATCTCTGCCTCTCTGTCTTCCTGTCCCTGACACTTCTTCCTAGGCCCAGCTTAAAGTCACCTTTTCTGTGTAGCCCCCGCTCAGCACACCAACAGCTTCCTCCTGAGGGAACTGGAAGTGCCCTCCGTCCTTACTGCTCCATCCTCACCCCAGCCTCTTCACATTGCATTGTAGCAGTATTCAGTGACGGTAACAGTGCATCTCACGGCATGGACGCCTCCATCTAAATCGAGTGCCTCGTGTGTTCTTTTCTCTTTTAACTCAGACAGCACTCTGAAGATTATCATCCCCATTTTTCAGAGGAGAGCAGAGAGGTCAGGCAACTTGTTCAGGGCCACACAGCCACCAAGTGGTAGAATCAATCCTGGAATCCAGATCTGACCGCCCCATTTCCCTGCCTTGCAGGCAGAGCAGGAGCTACTCTGTTTGTCTTCTTGGTCCATAACTCAGCACCTATACGGTAGGAACCCAGTAGATCTTGGTGGAATTGATTCCATTTTTGCCCTAACTAACATGCCAATCAGAGATCCTTCTTCCAGAGATGAAGAAGAATTTTCAATGTGTGCTTTTATTGTGTAAGAACAAATAGTCTCTGCCAAGGTGGTTTTCAGAGTGATTGAAGAAGATTATTGGTCATCTGTAGCTGCAGGAGTCTCCTTGCTCTGCTATTTACAACTCATATTTGCTTAGCAAGCTCTTTTTTTATTTTTTAAATATTTTTAAATTTCTATTTTTAATTTTACTGTAGTAAGGATACTGAACATGAGATCTACCCTCGTCACAGGTTTCTAAGGGTACAATACAGTATTGTATCCATAGCCATAATGTTGTGCAGATCTCTAGAACATATGCATCTTGCATAACTGAAACTTTCACCCATTGATTAGCGACTCCACATCTGCACCTCCCCCTAGCCTCTGGCACTGGCAACCACTATTCGTTGCTTTTTTGAATTTGACTCTTTTAGATACCTAATGTAAATGGAATTATGCAGTATTTGTTCTTCTGTGACTGGCTTATTTCATTTAGTAATGTCTTCAGAGTTCATCCATGTTGTTGTATATTGCAGTTTCCTTCTTTGTAAAGGCTGAATAGTATTCCATCGTATGTATATACCACTTTAAAATATTTTTCTTGGTGTGTAATATTTTTACATATTTATGGGGTACATGTGATATTTTGTTACATGCATAGAATGTGTAATGATCAGGTCAGGGAATTTAGGATATCCATCACCTCGAGTATTTATCATTTCTATGTCTTGGGGACATTTCAAGTCCTCTCTTCTAGCTATTTTGAAATATA